AGCTGTGATATCTTTCACCCAGAACTGTGTAAGAACTCTTTAAATAAGAAGGCATGTTTCAACACAGAATGTCCAGCTTCTGTAAACCTGTAGATTGCCTTTCAAAAACGCTGGAGTTTCATCTCAAAGACATGAATGCAATCATAAAACACTCATCACATTACTAAGGTTCATATAATGTTGTGTTCTATTATACCTACCATTAAAACTCGAACTTGAACCCATTCAATACCTTTCAAGTTATGTCTGTCATTTTTTGTTCGATAAAAATCTGGGGCCAGATTCGCGAAGCAATTACGCAAGTACTTACGAATGTATACATCTTTCCTCAATCGTTGACGGCTTTGGTTACATGTATTAAAGAATTTACATGAACGAAAACTTGCCATTCAACTGTTATTATTGTTATAAACAGCCTCCTGGTGCTTCGGAGCTCACTAACTTTTAATAATTGTAAACAAAGCCGCCAAAGATTGAGAAAAGATTAAATTTTTAAATTTTGCCCCGAGGGGCGAGTTTATTGGGCAGCGCCACTCATCTTGTGAGTGAACATACCGCCATAGCAGAATGTACAACACTCCCCAATAGGAAGAAAACCCGCTGGGTTGTTCATCCTGTCACTTGTACCCAGACACAGCTGTCTGGGTAGATGAGAAAAGATGTACAGGTTCGTAAGTGAAAAGATCCTAGTGAATCCTTTCTCACTGATACATACAAGTGTGATTTCATTGTGCCTTTAACATGACGTGTTGTCAAGGTTCGACTGAAGCTGGGAACGAAAGGGAATTATTTTGGAAAGCGCCAAGCCATTACGACTATATAGCACTGGGAAGGGGTCAGGATAAGGATTTGGGATGGGACGGGGGAAAAGGCATAGTGTCCAACCACTTGGCCGGTCGGGGATTGAACGCCGACCTGCATGAAGCGATGATGTCTAGCCGAAAGTTAGATATCTAACACGAATCTCAAATATATTTCTTACGTTCTTCACTTGCGGAGGAAAATGAACACTTTAAACTTCACTTTACAATTTGATTGGCATTGACGTGTCTCGCTAACCAACGCGTTTCGCTAAAGCTCTCATCAACATCTGCAGAGGCAGAGGGAAGGATGATGGAATTGATCAGATATGACAACACAGTATATGTACCATGTAGAGCGAAGCAAGGCGTCTTAACTACACAAGGGTAGTTAAGAGATAAGATGCAATAGGCAGTGATGTGGTGGAGGCAGACTCCATTCACAGTTGATTCTGAGCTCTCGGAGACTCGAACCTTGAACCCTATGAGTGTGAGGCCGAAGCTTATCCATTCACAGTTTCAAGTGTAGATATGATAGAGGAAGGAAGGCAGTTATCAGGGGAAAGCACCAAGCCATTACTACTATATAGCACTGGGAACACTGGGAAGGGGTCAGGATAAGGATTTGGGATGGGACGGTCACAGAGGCAGACCTGTTTCATTAGGCAGCCTGGAGGGTAATAGCAGGACACGCACGCACGCACGCACGCACGCACAGTGGGGGGCCTCGTAGCCTGGTGCAGGACTCGTAATTCTGTGGCGCGGGTTCGATTCCCGCACGAGGCAGAAACAAATGGGCAACGTTTCTTTCACCCTAAGTGCCCCTGTTACCTAGCAGTAAATAGGTACCTGGGAGTTAGTCAGCTGTCACGGGCTGCTTCCTGGTGTGTGTGTGTGTGTGTGTGTGTGTGTGGTGTGGGAAAAAAAATAGTAGTAAGTAAACAGTTGATTGACAGTTGAGAGGCGGGCCGAAAGAGCAAAGCTCAACCCCCGCAAAAACACAACTAGTAAACACACACACACACACACACACACTCCCCGCGCACACAGGCTGCGCCCCGCGCACACACACGCCACACACAAACCACACACACACACCCCTCCCCGCGCAAACCAATCAGGCTGCGCCCCGCGCAAACCAATCAGGCCGCGCCCCGCGCAAACCAATCAGGCCGCGCCACTCACGCCTTTCGCTCAATTCTTCTTACTCCACATACTGCCAACTCCACTGACAAGACCGCGCAAGAACCGGAAGCCCCTTGCCATCAGGCCTCGGGTCTCTCCGGAGCGCTGGCCCTGTCCCTGGCGGGAGCGCTGACCCCGGACGTGGAGGGAGTATAGTCCCTACTCCTCTCCCACCTGTTCTGTCCCACAGAGCACCTGAGTGTCCCGTCCCGTCACAGTGTTAGACGGGAAGGTGTCATGGCGGAATAGTGTCCGCTCCCGCAGCACCATGTATATCTCCCTCCTGCGCCACACCTGCGCCTCCTGCGCCACACCTGACAACCTCTCACAAGACCTGTACACTCTTCCACTTCGAAGCTGCATCTTGGCACAGTTAATAATGTCATGTGCGTCAAGAATAACGTTAGTGTAATATCAGAGATTACGGTGAATATAGTGAGATAAGATGGTGACGACGGGTTACCTTGAGGTGCTTCCGGGGCTTAGTGTCCCCGCGGCCCGGTCGTCGACCAGGCCTCGGGCGGGTGAAGAGTGTATGGTGTGTTGCTGATGGTGACACCAGAGCTGTTTGGTGTGATGGTGACATGTGTGTGTGCAGCGTGATAGTAATATATATATATATATATATATATATATATATATATATATATATATATATATATATATATATATATATATATATATATATATATATATATATATATATATATATGTATATATATATATATATATATATACACACACATATATATATATATATATATATATATATATATATATATATATATATATATATATATATATATATATATACATATATACACATACATACATACAGCTATGTGTCTCATACTTTGACAGGGTAAGATAGCTTCTACAGAAACTAATGTGATATTAAACACTTAACCACTGAAGGTGATGAAGGTGCTATTACAAGCTCAGGTTATAGGTACAATACATTGTATAACAGATGTATTACATATTGTATAGGTACAATACATTGTATAACAGATGTATTACATATTGTATAGATACAATACATTGTATAACAGATGTATTACATATTGTATAGGTACAATACATTGTATAACAGATGTATTACATATTGTATAGATACAATACATTGTATAACAGATGTATTACATAGTCAATCTTGGGAACAAGTTCAATATATCATCAAGTGTTCCAGTATTCATATACTAGTTAAAGAGTTCAGCATACCTCAGCCCAGGAAGTATAGGCTGAAGCTTAAAACCACTACAATCACCTTCTGTGATTGATTGTTCAATAAATCACAGAACTATATGTTTAAAAGATCTCTCACCCTGTCCATGGAGGACAGAAGAAAATGTATATATGCTGGTTAGCATTGGAAATGTCTGGCCACGTCTGTGGTAGAAAAAAAATGTTGCTCCCACACCCCTGGCACTGCTCCCAAACCTCTGGCACTGCTCCCACACCCCCCTGGCACTGCTGTCACCCTGGACAACGTGTTCTACACACCTGGCTCGCGACAGTGCCACACACCAATCCAGGGAGGAAATGACAGCCAATCCAGCAAGCTGTTTCAGATTTAGCTACTCAGGACGGAGTGTCCATGTAGCACGGGCTATGGTGATCCCGTAAACACTCCAGCAGTAGGACGGTGTTTACAAAGATGATGAGAGAGAGAGAGCGGAGGTAGGCCATCAACACGCTACCACCAAGGTCGACTGGTTGGACCACCACTATCACTTCTCTTAGTACCTGGTTGACGGGGTTCTGGGAGTTCTTCCACTCCCCCAAGCCCCGGCCCGAGGCCAGGCTACCACAACTAACATTTCTCCCACTACCACTACTCGTGCCACCACCACTACTACCAGCGCCCCCAGCAACAGGCAATTTAATTGCCAAATTCAACCCCATCAAATCTCGGCCCAGGCATGTGGATACAAAAAAAGGTTGATGAGAGAGAAGGGGTAGGGACAGAGGTGAGGATAAAGAATGGCAGGACACAGTAAGGGTAGACTGGATAGATAGATAGTGCAGATAGACAGTGATGCATGCAACATATGAGGGGTTAACAAGGTTCTCTTGGGCTGGACGGTAGAGCGACGGCCTCGCTTCATGCAGGTCGGCGTTCAATCCCCGAGCGTCCCACAAGTGGTTGGGCACCATTCCTTCCCCCCGTCCCATCCCAAATCCTTATCCTGACCCCTTCCCAGTGCTATATAGTCGTAATGGCTTGGCGCTTTCTTGAGGCCAAGGGCCCATAGACATTAAGATATTACACGGCCAAATACCACATTCTCTCCAAACATCTACCATCACCGGGGCTATTCATGCCCATGCCACCTCTTGTGATGGCTTAATCTTCATCAATCATCAATCGCTTTCTCCTCATAGTTCCTGTTTTATATTTAGCTACTCAGAACGAAGGGTCCATGTAGCACGGGCTATGGCGAGCCCGTAAACACTCATAGTTCCCTTTCCTTCTTGATTTAGACTTCTACAGGCAGTTAGCCAAGACTGCAGTTGGTCTACTGTTGATGGGATTCCACGTAAGGCTTCCACCTTACCTGAATCTTACTCGAAAAGGGTTTCTGGCTTTCTACTCCCCCGACCAGTTCGACCAGGTTCTTGGTCGAACTGACTGTTGCTTGTAGCGGCTCACAGCAGGCCTACATATTTACTACAACCCCCCACCCACCCAGTTGCATCACATGCGGGTACACATATGCACATCAAGCCTGGCCTCGGGCCGGGCTTGGGGAGTAGAAGAACTCCCAGAACCCCATCAACCAGGTATGTATGCAGACGAGGAGTCACAATAACGTGGCTGAAGTATGTTGACCAGACCACACACTAGAAAGTGAAGGGACGACGATGTTTCGGTCCGTCCTGAACCATTCACAATCGACTTGAGAATGGTCCAGGACGGACCGAAACGTCGTCGGCCCTTCACCTTCTAGTGTGTGGTCTGGTCAACATATGTACGTGTACACACACACATACATAAACACACAGGAGACTTACCTTGTATGAGTGCCAGTATGAGCCAGCTGACGGCAACTTTGAGGTCCATCATGGCGTCTCTCCTCACCACCTGTAGGGCCAAACAAACATACTTTAAACAAATCCACAAGGGCCGTGATGAGGATTCGAACCTGCGTCCGAGATCATCCCAGACGCTGCCTTAATCGACTGAGCTACGACATGGTCAAAAAGAGTTGAAACCTGAAGGTCTACTGAACTTGCTTTTACCCACCAACAATCATCAACCACAATTATCACAATTATCCAACCACAATTATCATCAACCGTTCATTATCGTAAACTATGGCATTACTTAAATCATTTCCAAATTTGTATTTACTGGGAAAGAACTTGACATTTTAGCTATTGAAGAAATCAGCAGATGGTGAATAGCAATACAAGATTAATGGCCGTTTGCATTTAAAGAAATGCACTCTCATTCTTTACAAGTATGCCTAACCACTTGGGCTGGACGGTAGAGCGACGGTCTAGCTTCATGGAGGTCTGCGTTCAATCCCCGACCGTCCAAGTGGTTAGGGCACCATTCCTTCCTCCTCGTCCCATCCCAAATCCTTATCCTGACCCCTTCCCAGTGCTATATAAGCTTGATGCTCTCTTTGTTGACTTTGTTGAATTACGGGCTCACCATAGCCCGTGCTACATGGACACTCCGTCCTGAATAGCTAAATCTTTAACAACAACAACTTTGTTGACCGCGGGCTAACCATAGCCCGTGTTTCTTGCCATGCTCCTATGCCAGGTAAGTCCACTACGGGCTCACCATAGCCCGTGCTACTTGTAACTTTTGTTCCGAGTAGCTGAATCTAAAACAACAACAACTTTGTTGATCACACGGGAGACATCTCCCGTCACGCAGGGTGCAGTTGCACCTCCACAGATCTCCAGTATCATCTACTGATACTGGTAATGGCTCAAAAGGGCCTCCACTTACGGGCTACTCATGCCCGTGCCACCTTTTGGGTGGCTTAATCTTCATCAATCAATCAATCTTTGTTAACCAGATCACACACTAGAAGGTGAAGGGACGACGACGTTTCGGTCCGTCCTGGACCATTCTCAAGTCGACTGTCTCCCCTGATAGTTCCCTTCTTTACAAGTACATATACTACATATATACTAATATGTAGTATATGTACATATTAGTATATATGTACATATACTGCATATGTAGTATATGTACATATACTGCATATGTAGTATATGTACATATACTACATATGTAGTATATGTACATATACTGCATATGTAGTATATGTACATATACTGCATATGTAGTATATGTACATATACTACAGCAACAGCAGCAAAATAAACAATCAAACCGGGCTCCTAATAGCATGACATATACTTTAAGACCAAAAACTGACGCATTAGAAAATGGTAGCGGCTCGCAGAAGCCAGAGCTCAACCCCCGCAAGCACAAATAGCCGAGTACAGCCCAGTAGGTTCAGGAATCTGTACACCAGCTAAATGACAATTGAGAGGCGGGACCAAAGAGCCAGAGCTCAACCCCCCCCCACAAGCACAACTAGGTTGAGTACACGCACACACACAGAACAGAGCTAGCAGACAATGCTATTATAACCTAGCAAGGCTAGCAGACAATGCTATAACCTAGCAAGGCTAGCAGACAATGCTATTATAACCTAGCAAGGCTAGCAGACAATGCTATAACCTAGCAAGGCTAGCAGACAATGCTATTATAACCTAGCAAGGCTAGCAGACAATGCTATAACCTAGCAAGGCTAGCAGACAATGCTATAACCTAGCAAGGCTAGCAGACAATGCTATAACCTAGCAAGGCTAGCAGACAATGCTATAACCAACACTGGGAGACCAAGTCTCACTAAGCGACAAGGAGCAGGAACCCAACATCGCGAAAGACACACACACAAAAAAAAAGAACGAAAGTTAAGGTATCAATACGCCACAAGCCAAAGAAGAGCAACGTTAAGTGGACAGGTCGCTCCACTTAGGTGGACAGGTCGCTCCAGTTAAGGCAATTCTCGCCTGGCGTTAGGGACGTAAGCCCTAACGCTCTGGGGGACACACCATGGTCACTGACTGAGGAAGTAAATGGAAAATATGGAAAATAAAGTTAGGAGGGAGGGAATAAGGGAAGATGGAGAGGCCGAGTGGGGGTAAAATGGGTGGTATATAGCAGGATGGGAAAGTAATGTGTTAACAACAACAAAAGAAAGAAAGAAAGAGAGAAAGAAAGTGAACACTCATACGTATTCAGAGTTAAATAAGTTTTTCTCTGAATGCTCTGTGTTCCCTTCTCTGAGGCTGTGGGTCCCTACAATTGCACCAGAGGTGGTACCCCCCCTTTATACACACACACACACACACACAATATATATATATATATATATATATATATATATATATATATATATATATATATATATATATATAAATATATATATATAAATATATATATATATATATATATATATATATATAAAATATATATATATATATATATATATATATATATATATATATATAAATAAAATATATATATATATATATATATATATATATATATATATATAAAATATGGAAGGGAGTACCACCTCTAGCTGGAAGAAGGGGGACCCATATATATATATATATATATATATATATATATATATATATATATATATATATATATATATATATATATATATATATATATATATTTTTTTTTTTTTGGTCTATCCTGGAACGTCCCAATTAACCAATCTCCTCCTGTTTCTCTCTCTTTATGTATCCTCATTCGCTGGCCTCCCTGCGCCAGTGGACCAATCACAGCCCACCAATATGAGAGGGATTACCTCATCACTCTGCACGTGGCACAGGGGGGGGGAGGGGTAAGGGGTAGATGTGAGAAGGGGGGGGGGTAAGGGGTAGAAGGGGGGGGGGTAAGAGGTAGATGGGGGGGATACCAGTGTCTAAGCGCCAACACGTGCTACGACGTACATCGTGAATGGTACGCACTCCTCTCTTATAACTACTACACCCCTGGTGTCGTAACTGTATCGCTGGAGGGGCGGACCTGAAGGCCGAGAGGACAGCGTTCGGGGTTCGTAGTCCTATTAAGGTTCCGGGTTCCATCCCCCGGAGGAGGACGAAACAAATGGGCAGAGTTTCTTGGCTCTCGCGGCCAGGTCAACAGCCATTCTACCAGCTACCATTCTACCATTCTACCAACAACCATTCTACCAGCTGCTTCACGTCTAACTACATACAAGATGGCTTTAAAACGAGGACGAATATGGGGGAAGTGAAAAGGAGAAGTAAGGAAGGAGAGAAAGGGGGGAGAGAGAGAGAGAGCTAGATGAGAGGGTGCGAAGTAAAGGGAGAAAGTTCATGCCGGCCCATAAAATAGGTAGGCAACAAAGGGAGACAGCGTTGGAGAGGGGGCGCAGGAGATGGGACAGATATAGTCACCCCTGGACGACCCCGGGGGACCCAAGGACGACCCCCAGGACGACCCCAGGGCGACCCCAGGCGTACACCACACACGCGATACAGCAGGGGGGGGGATAAGCGCTACACAACACAATGCAGATTAATATCTATCCAATACGGAGTGTGGGTGGTGAGGGAGGGAGGGAGGGAGGGAGCAGATGTGAGTAGGGAAGAGGTGCATGGAGTAGCCGATGGAAGGAATGGAAGCAGAAGTGTGAAGAAGTCTCCGTGGTGTAGTGGTAAGACACTCGCCTGGCGTTCCGCGAGCGCTATGTCATGGGTTCGTATCCTGGCCGGGGAGGATTTACTGAGCGCAATTCCTTAACTGTAGCCTCTGTTTAACTCAACAGTAAAATGTGTACTTGGTTGTAACAACGATTCTTCGCGGCGGGGATCGTATTCCAGGGACCTGCCCGAAACGCTACGCGTACTAGTGGCTCTACAACCATGTAACAACTCTTGTATATATCTCAAAAAAAAAAAAACAAAAAACAGAAAAGGAGTGGTGTTGATGATTGTTGCAATTAGGCATCAATCAGTCTCAGGAGACTATGGAGATACCGTCTGGTTATCGATGTGGAGTGGCTTCTCTAGGACGCAAAGCCCGGGTAGGTTGATATGGAGAAGCTGTTACCCATGCAGCAGGTCCCCTTCTCCACGGCGCCGAGCTAGGTAAGGGCAATTATATTGCCCTAAACGAGCACTCTTGTCTCCAACACCGAGAAACCTTGACGAACATCGTCACTGTTCATTTCTCTAGCCGAGCTGTCTATACAGTATACCTAGGTCATAAAAGTTTTTGTGTGTACGTCGGATACCATACTACTTGTGAAGGAGGAAATGTATATGTTTACCTCTCAGAATGTTTGGTAATGTGTTTATTGTTTGTGATGTGTGTCTATGTATGTATTAACACGATGTACTGAACGGGGTGAGAATAGCTTGAGCTACCTCATCCCTTTGTGTGTATTTTACCTCAATAAACTGATTTCAATTTCAATTTCTAGCCGAGCATAGTAAGTGATTCGATGCCATCTTGAATTTTATTTATATATACTTAAATTTTAAATATATTTCTTGGGGTAATCTTGAGACGATTTCGAGGCTTTTTAGTGTCCCCGCGGCCCCGGTCCTCGACCAGGCCTCCACCCCCCCCCCAGGAAGCAGCCCGTGACAGGGCATAGGGTGAAAGAAACTCTGCCCATTGTTTCTCGCCGGTGCCCGGGATCGAACCCGGGACCACAGGATCACAAGTCCAGCGTGCTGTCCGCTCGGCCGACCGGCTCCCCGTTTAATATTTGATATTTATTTTGTATAAATATTTTATATTTATATCTAGCAGCACGCAAAGGGATTCGGGCAGGACCTTAGTTCCAATCTTTTCCGCAATACGACCCGTCTTATTTCCAATCTTTCCCGTAATACGACCCCGTCTTATTTCCAATCTTTCCCGTAATACGACCCGCCTTATTTCCAATCTTTTCCGCAATACGACCCGCCTTATTTCCAATCTTTCCCGTAATACGACCCCGTCTTATTTCCAATCTTTCCCGTAATACGACCCGCCTTATTTCCAATCTTTCCCGCAAT